AGAGTAAAAACACCAGCCACAGTCTGGGAGAAGAAGTTTATAATCCATACATCCAGCAAATGACTTGATTCAGAATAAAGAACTCCTACTAATCAATAAGATTCTTGAAGATAAGCCACTTCACAAGAGAGAATATCCAAATGTCCAATTTATTAGTAATCTGGGAACACAAACTACAACCTCAATGCTGCCCACTGCAGTTCCACTAAAAGACCTAAGGGGGAAAGACAGGCGATACCCAGTATTGGTGAGGATATGGATCCAATGGATTGGTGAGGATTGATGAGGATTTGAATCTTTCAAAACATTGCATATTGGAAACATCAACTGATACAATCACTATGGAAAACTCTGTCATATTCACTCAAGCAAAACACTTGCAAACGCCACCCTCTAGCAGTTTTACTCCTAGCCATGTATCTAACAGGAGTATGTACACAGGCACGTGTGCTCAGTTGCTCAGTCATGTCCCACTCTGCAATTCTGTAGCCTGCCAGACTCCTCTGTCCATGGGATTTTCCCAGCAAGAATACTGGAGTGGATTGTCGTTTCCTCCTCTAGGGGAATCTTCCAGACCTAAGGATCAAACTGGCATCTTCTGCATGGGCAGGCAGATTCTTTACCTCTAAGTCACCTGGGAAGCATGTTCACCAAAAGACAAGCAGCGCTGTTAGCAAGAGTCAAATGCGGGAAACACCTCAAATATCCATTGATGGTAGAATGGATAAATAATGACGATATATTCATACGATGGAAACTAAAGACAATGAAAATTCAACAGCATGCAATAACATCAGGTTGAATAACAAAAGCTAGATACAAAAGAATTCATACCATATGATTCCTTCATATAAAATTCAAAAATAAACAAAGACAGTATAAGCTGTTGGAAGCCAGGAGATTACTGGCTTCTAACAGCCAGTAATAACTGGTTTCTCTTAAGGAAAGTTTCCACAATTGAAGGGGTGCGTAATGGGCCTTCTGGGGAGGGAGTTGTAATGTCTTGTTTCTCAATTTAGGAGCTTGATTACATGTGTGTATGGTTTATGAAAACTCACTGTAGTGTATACTCGTGATTTCTGTATTATACTTCAATTTAAAAAGTTTACATAGAAAAGTGAATGGAAACATGGAAAAAACATTTAATCAAGGGAAGTTGAGTGGGGGAAGAATTCGCTTTAGCCACAGAGGAGGACTGCACTGTTTACCAAAGATCTCCTGTGTGATTTTCCTTCAGGCTTCACCATCAGGTAGGACTGGCTGCGGTCAACCAGCAATTTGAGAGTGTCACAGTAACCATGTATGCAGAGTCTGATGGGATTCGGGGCCTGGGATACCCCTGCTTGGCTGCGGAAGGGGTGACCCTGGTGTTCAACGTGACAGCTAAGAAGCTGGTGAATCTATCCGTGTTTACTGTGTACATGAACAGGGAAGGCCTGTGAGGCTCACAGATTAAGGTTACAACCACAGGGAAACAACATGTCCAGACTCAGCAGTCACAACTCCTGGGCTAGAGCTCTGGCTTGGACTAGTACCAGCTGTGTGATTTGGGGTGAAACATAGTCTCTCCGAGAACTGACAAAATGGGGTTTGCCTCATAAGGTTGTTGAGAAAAGGATTTTGTAACCAGTACCACACTAGACTAATTGAAGAATTCCCCAGGAATAGACATTTATTTATGCAGTGAATATATATTTATTAAGCTCCAGTTTTGTGCTGACCATGTTGCTAGGCACTGGGAACATAGTGAAACAAGGAAGACAGTCCCTGACCTCAAAAAGCTTAATTCCAATGGGAGAAGGTGGGGAAAAAACTCAAAAGCTAGCTGACAATAAAATAATTGCACATTATTGGAACAACAAAGAGTAATATACATACAATGGAATATTGGGCTTCCCAGGTGGCACTAGTGGTAAAGAACCCACCTGCCAATGCAGGAGACCTGGGTTCAATCCCTGGGTTGGGAAGATCCCTTGGAGGAGGGCATGGCAACCCACTCCAGTATTCTTGCCTGGAGAATCCCATGGACAGAGGAGCCTGGAGAGCTACAGTCCAAAGGGTCACACAGAGTTGGATATNGTAAAAAACCCTGATACTGGGAAAGACTGAAGGCGGGAGGAGAAGGGGACGACAGAGGATGAGATGGTTGGATGGCATCACTGACTCAATGGACATGGGTTTGAGTGGGCTCAAGGAGTTGGTGATGGACAGGGAGGCTTGGCGTGCCGCAGTCCATGGGGTCGCAAAGAGTCGGATACGACTGAACGACTGAACTGAACTGAATTGCATACTCCTTAAAACAGTTTCCTCTCCAGCCAGGCTGCAGTGGGGACCATTCCTGAGCAGAACTGGGAGTAAGAGGGCGGGTTGTCTAGACACCTCCACTTTCTCCTTTCAGAGCTTCCTGCTCCGTTTCAGCCTGGAGCGAAGGAAAGTGTGATGGAAAGTAGCAAGGACTTTGCAATCAGACTGACCTGGACTTAAAGCCCCAGCTTGCATTACTTCATCCTCCCTGAGCCTCATTTCCCTCAAATGGACACTAGGCTGACATGAGAATTAATACGATTAGGCAGGGGAAATTCCTAGCACGGTGCCTTGCATAAAGGCCACCAACAAACGTCGGTTCGTCCACTCTCGCACCTCTGAAACCACTATCCTTAGTTTTGCACAAACGCCCATTTCCCCCTCCTCTTTACTGCGCCGTTTTGTATTTCACTGATCCTTTCCCTCCTGAAAACAAATCAGTTTTAGGTCCTGTTTCCCCAGGATCCTGCTAGGTGGTAGAATATATTCTGAAAAATAAATACAATATTAATAAATATTCAAGCTCCAATAAATCATGTTGATTTCAAAGAGCATTTTCACCTAACACAAAGGAGTGAATAATGTGGAAATTCCAGGCACCACTACAAGAGTGGGGAAGATATTTGGAGCAAAGGGGCATTGGGGGCATGCCACATGTCGCATGGCGAATGCACATCCCAGGATGGTGCTGGCCTTGACCCTACATGAGTTTGGCATGACCAGACCTATGGTTTCCGTTTTTCACCTCCCTACCCATCTATTGGAGAAGCAGGAGGATATTCACAAATCGTTGAGCAAAGAGAGTTGTTTCTTTTTTTTTTGGCCCTAACATATTCAGGATAATCAGTCTACAGCTGTCAGTTGTAGCTTGTCAACTCACAGCTATCAGAAGCCCTCGTCTCACGGGGCAGGCTGACATTTCTGCCTGTCTTAGTACTTGCTGTGAGTGACCAAACCAAGAAGCAGAGGCCTGGCTGAGGCTCAGCTCTCAGGTTTTCCAGCAGCCCTTCCTTGACAATCTGCCTTTCTTTCCATGTGCTGACACGGAGGTGGTGCAGCGAGTGAGCTGATTTTCAGAGGCTGTGACCACTCCAGTCTCTCTGGGAACCTTAACTGGGTTCTAGTCACCAAGCAAGGGCTTCCCAGGTGGTTCAGTGATAAAGAATGCACCTGCCAACGCAGGAGACTCGGGTTCGCTCCCTGGGTCGGGAAGATCCCCTGGAGAAGGAAATGGCAACCCACTCAAGTATTCTTGCCTGGGAAATCCCATGGACAGAGTGGCCTGGTGGGCTATAGTACCTGGGGTTGCAACGAGTCGGACACAACTTAGCGACTGAACGACAACACGACCAAGCGAGGCTACTGGCAGGTCGCAGTGGACACGTAAGTATCCTCCAAGGAGTGGTCATAGGACGAGGGAAGAGCACAGAGCAGGCAGAACTCAAATTTGGTGAACTGAGTTGACTTGAATGAAACTACTGGTCACTGGGGAGGATTCCAGAAGCTGGCTGTGTGAGGCTAGAGGTAAGGAGACGTGAGCAGAGGTGCAGGACAGGACAGCCGGCACACAGTACCAACTCTCAGCTCCTTTCCTATATGTGTGGTGCATCTTTAACTCAACAGACAGTAAAGACTAACACTCAGCCAACATCTCATTCAACAGAAATGAACACGTAAGGCAGGGGCTAAGTGACATGGGGGTGCAGAAATAAGCTGGACTGGGATTTTGCCTTCGTAAAGCACTGCAGAAGATGAAACATATGCACAAACTACTACTATGTAGAGTAGAAGGTGGTCAGTCGCCCCATAAGATGGGCCACCAAAGGGACCCAAAAGAAAGGGCAAGCCTACTTCTCTCTGAAGAACTCCTAAAGGGCTTTGTGGAGCGGGTGGCGTTGACTGAACCTTCACATACACAGCACACTCAGAGGCATGAACAACTGAGGGAAGTGGAGATAGACTCCTGCCTTACACACTGTTGGTCCTTTAATGGACTGGAACCTGGTGGTCTGAAGTCGACGATCAGAGAGTGAAAGAAGGAAAGAGGCTAATATTCCCTGGGTTATGCAGCCAGCTTTCATGCTCCAGGGAATCAGCCAGAAATAGAGAGAGAAAGAAAGACAGACAGACGCGGGGACCCAAGCTCTGATGGAGCAAAGGTGTTTTAATCAACATGGTGTGGGCATATATACTGTCTTCCAAGGATCTCAGCAAAAGACATCTCAGCAAAGATAGAGATTAAAATTCCAGATTTACAAAGCATAAGGTGATCCCTACTTAAGAGAGAGAGTTGTAAACAATCACTTTTTACTGTATGGTTCCTAAGAAGGAAGAGGGTACTTACCACCATATTGAAAAACTAACGAAGGAAATGCCTGGATTCCTCAGCCCTGGGAGAGGCATGTGCCTCCTCTTAATTCCTGAATATTCAGAAATTAATAAGGACCAGATGATTCCTGACAGATCCAAAACAGCACACAGGAAGCCTCCTGCTAAATGCTTCCTGACAACACCCAGCACTGTCCCTGACAATGCAGGAATTCAAAGAAACATAATTCAAGGTTGAATTCAGCTGGGGATTAGTTCCTGCAAGAGAGCAGGCATGTGCTTGGCACAGAGATACAAACTCAAAAAGGCTCCAATGTTTACTGTCTACTCAGGGCTTCTCAAACTGGAAGGATTTATCCATTGTGGGTCATGACACCATTTTAGGGGGCCATGACCTACATTTTTTAATGAAATGGGTACCTTCATTGAAATGAAGATATCCTAAGTACGTTTCATGAAATTTTTATTGTGTGTGCATGTGTGTGTGTGTGTACTGGGTTGAGAAGTAAATGTATTTCCAGAATGCTACAGATTTCAGCCAAAGAAAAAAATTTTTTTGAGAAACCCTCATGTAGTGAGAGAGACCAAAATAGAAATTATTTGTGTGCTTCAGTGGATTAGAGAACAGGCAGGGAGTGAGAATTGCTGGGGGCCAGGGAAGCTTAGGAGGAGACAGGAGAAAGGAGGGGAGGGAGTGGCTGATGATGCTTCCTTCATCCTCAGAATTAGAACGGAGATGCGTCTGAACGGGCCCTTGGTGGTGTGTTGTCTTACACTGAAGAAGTATGTCAACATCCGTGCCTTACCAGAAGTCACCTTTACCATCCACGGAGTCCCCTACAGCCTCCAACCAACTGTCTGTACCCTGCTGGTGAGACCTGCTTCCTTATTCTGCAAGTCACAGGCCATCCTCATCCACCAGCCACTTCCCCTTTTCAAACAACCGCCTGCCCTCAGGCTTCCCCCTCCCCTAGACCCAGTTTGCAGGCATCCCCTCTGCCAGGGGCCCAGCTGCCCAGGGTAGGAAGGACAGACGTTGCCTCTAATTTGTTGTTCTGCTGTGAAGCGGCAGCCAGCCTTGCCCAAGCCATTTAATGAGGTTTCCTGACATTGTCGGGGCGACTTTTCAACTGACAAAGTTTAATCCCTCAGCCACCAAGTCAGACCAGGATCCTTTCATCCCATTTTATAGATGAGGAAACGGAGACTCAGAGAGTTAAGTGATTCAAGATATGAGCTGCTGGGGTCGGGGTGGGGATAGAGAATAAGGTTATATCTCTTCTAACAGTCAAGCTAACATTCTCCTCAAACAAGAAAATGCTTGTTCCAGGAGACTGGTAGATTTGGAGAGTGAGGTAAAAAGGGAACTGCCAGGCATTTTGGAAATCTGTGATCCTGAGTTTTCAACACTGCATTTCTTTGGCGACACACTGTAATACACTGGCTTTGCCCTAGAGTTACATATGGCATCAGGGTCATTACACCAGGTTGGAAGCAGAACGGCGTGAATGGAGGGTTTTGCCTACCCCCACACCTTGACCTCCATTAACCCCTTCTCAAAGCCACCAAGTATAAATGGGCAAAGCAAATGAAAATGAATGTTTTGCTTTAAAACACAGCTCCGTGTCAAGCCTGCTAAGCTCTTCCAACAAAGGAATTCTGGAGCTGTCAGCTGTGAACACCATGCTGAGGACAAACTAGACATTTCAACTGTGCTCAGTTCCCCAGCCTCCCCTCCCCTCCAGGGCCCCACACTCTCTCGTGGCCACCCTGTATGAGCCCCGGCTCACCCACACACCTTCCCTGGACCATTATGGTGCCACTGTCCTTTTATGCCAGCAGTTTTCCAATCACAGCCGCCTCAATCCATCAAGGAGACTGTCCTAAATCTGCATCTTTATCTCCTTCCTCTCAGGAAGACTCTTGAAGCCCTCATTGAATTTTCCCAAACCCTCACTGGCAACCTCAAATTTCAAATGGCTGTTGAAACGACAACTCCTACTTGTTAGACCCCAAGTTTTCAGCAAATCAAAAAGCAGGTTTGGGGAGGTCACACTCTTCTCATGGAAAAATGGATGCCTACCTGCCATAAAGCCAGAAGAAGCCACTCAAATGATTCTTTCCAGAAAATCAACAAGAGAATAGCAGTGGTGAATCACTTACAGAGCAATACCTCTACTTTAACAAATTAAGTTGAGCTTTGCTGGAAACTAAAGAAACCAGAATTTAAGCCAAGATCTTCTAACGCAAAACCTTTTGCTGTTCCAGCCACAAGGTTTGAGTTTTCTCAGCTGTAAAATGGGGGTGTATAACAGATGAACGATTATCAAAACTGTAGAAGTTAGAAGCCAAGACCTACATATACGAAACTGTGCAAACACTTCATTGAGTGAACATGGATAGGTGTATGAAAAGGAGAGAAAAACTGATGTCAGGTTGCACAGCCTACAGCAGCTTGAAGCAGGGCTTCGGTTCCCAGCCAGAGACTGTAGTCAAGCCAAGGCTGTGAGAGCAGAGTCCTGGCCACTAGACCACCGGGACCAGTCGCCAGTGGCAAGGCCCTGGCCCACCAGCTGTGTAGGAGCGAATTTCCACATAGAGATGGGAAGTAGTGAAGTGAGTAAAATGTTTACTAGGAGCAAAAAAGTATGTGTGGATAGACACATGGACGGGCTCAGAGAGAGTCAAACTCTCATGGCAGTTCAAGCCACTTTTCAGGACGCTTCTTCTGGGTTTCCTTTGGCCAGTCATCTTGCTCTGCCTGTTTCTGAGTCCGTATTTGGTGTATTTCAGGGTCCTCCATGTGTGCACACATGTCTCTTAGCAAGATGGATTCTAGCAAAGAGGCCCATGGGTAGCTGATATCACTCACTGTGGGGTGGCACCTCCTCCCTTTCTGACCTCCAGAGAGCTTTTCTGCTTGTATGTAGTCTGGGAGGTCTCCTTAACTTCAGGAATAAGGAATCTGCAGTCTTTTATCTCTTGTCTGGGCAAGGCCCGCCTTGTTTCCCCCTCTATTTTGCAGTATCTGAGCGCCGGGGAGAACCTGTTCAGCTTGGGGCTTATCCATCACCCGCCTCAGAACCAACCAGCCGCAGCAGTGAGGCAGCTCCGGTGCCTTTCAGAGCAGCTACCACCACCACACGTGTAGCCTCTAGTCAGCCCTACTTCCTTCTTTCCCTGTATTTACATTCTTCTTTGCAACTCCAGAAATTCATGGGTGGAATGAAGTTTTGAGTCAGTGTCTTTCAAGATTCTGACGTCCAACCTCCAGCTGGGTCCTTCTGGACACTAGGCAACGTATCTATTAGATGCTTTCGCTCTGTCTTTGACCGAGGGAATACCCTTGTGGAGCTGGCCCCAGCAGTCGCCTAAGCAGGGGCCTTGTGTCTGGGCCTACCCCCTTGGAAATTCAGCTGGGTATTCTCCACAGCTGTCAAAAAACCACTACAATATTGTAAACCAATTAGCCTCCAATTAAAATAAATAAATTATTTTTTTTAAGTTATTCTCAATAGAGTGTAGTTGCAATTGTTCCAGAGCTACAACCAAATTAGAGTGAAGCAGCATGAGAACATACACAGAAACACACACTCACACACACTTCATACACACCCACCTTCACGCCAACTCCATTTCCGTGATGGAAGAGCTAAGCTGAATGCCCATACTTCTCATTGCTTTTTGCTGATGGTGGAGACCTGGCCTGGGAAGACTTCTTATTGGAGCTGCTGCACTCTGTCCCTGTCCACAGGATAGTAGAATGACTCCGAGGTCATTCTGGGAATCACAATCACAACTACAATCCTAAGGGATGTGAGAAACTTTTATTGCTTTATTGCTTTTTGTCTTATGATGGGAATCTCCAAACATGTGCTCAAGCAGAGATTACAATACAATAAATCCCTGTGCACCCCAACTCAATTTTTACAACACAGCCACACATGGCCAGGCCTGTTTTATCTTGCACCACCAGGCACTCCTCTCCCCAGCCCCACATACCTGGGTTATTTTGAAGCAAATTCTTAGCATCATATTATAAATCATCACATCAAAAATTTATCCATAAACCCTTCTAATACAGGTATCCCCTGCTTTTCAAAAGTTCACTTTATACCACTTAGACTTTATGAAAGACCTACATTAGTATCTGGGCTTCCCAGGTGGTGCTAGTGGTAAAGAACCTGCTTGCCAATGCAAGAGATGTAAGAAATGAGGGTCCAATCTTTGTGTCAGGAAGATCCCCTGAAGGAGGGCATGACAACCCACTCTGGTACTCTTGCCTGGAGAATTCCATCAACAGAGGAGCCTGGCAGACAACAGTCCGTAGGGTTGCACTGAGTTGGACGTGACTGAAGTAACTTAGCATGCAGGTACGCACACACCAAAAAAGTTCATGGCTGCTCATATATGCACACACTTTTTTTGGTTTTGTTTTTAGTCTTTTTTGCACATGTATATATATATACCGATCCAAATAAACCAAAAGCAGCGTAAGAAATTTCTTGCCTGGGAAATCCCGTGGACGGAGGAGCCTGGCAGGCTACAGTCCACGGGGTCACAAAGAGTTGGACACGACTGAATGACTTCACTATAGGCTTCCCTGATAGCTCAGTTGGTAAAGAATGCACCTGCAATGCAGGAGACCCTGGTTCGATTCCTGGGTTGGGAAGATATCCTGGAGAAGCAAAAGGGTACCCAGTATTCTGGCCTGTAGAATTCCATGGACTGTATGGGGTCGCAAAGAGTCTGACACGACTGAGCGCCTTTCACTTCACTTCACTTAGCACAATAAAGGAGTTAACAACACAAGCTCTGTGGAGGCGGGAGCCAATGTTTAGAGAACACCCCCGCAGTCTCTCTCCTCAAGGAGGATTTCTACACGGGCAGCTACGCTGGTGTGCCCGCCTGGTACCTGTGGTTCCAGGAGCCTGAGTGGCGGAGCTGAGTGTGAAAGCGATGCTTCAGTCACATCTTAGGAAGTGAAAGCTCCCTCACCCGGTTCTGTTCTGAGCACTCTGGCCCCTCGAGGCAGAAGCGATGCTTTTAGTCAGCGTGGACTCGCTGCCTGCTGCCTGTGTAAACCTGCCTAGCCCGGGTAGCTGCTTTGGTTTTTCCACAACTGACTCTGGCTCCTTGTGACCCTCACCTCTGAAATCCAGGACCCTGCTCCGTGTCTGGTGCTAGGTCACCACCTCTCAGGGAGGGGCTGAGAGCTCTGGCCAAGCTCCACCGTGCCCCGGGAAGGATGCTGCATTCATTTCCTAGTGCTGCCACAGCCGGGCACCACAACGTGAGTGGCCCAAGGCACAGGTATCCACTGCCTCACAGTTCTGGAGACTGAAAACCAAGACGGATGGTGTCAGCAAGGCCACACTCCTCCTTGGAATCACGGGGAGCAATCTTTGCTCGCCTGAGCCAGCTTGTGGTGGCGGCTGGAATCCTCACCGTCCTTGGCTTGCAGCTGTGTTGCTCCAGGGTCTGCCTCCCTCATCACCTGCTGTCCCCGTGGTCTATGTGTCCCTTCCTTCTTATAAGGACACCAGCCATACCAGATGAAGGGCCCACCCTACCCTACTATGACCTCACCTCAATTTTAATTGCCCTTTCAATGACCCTGTTTCCAAATAGGGTCATTCTGAGGCATAGGGCTTCAGACTCCAACTTGTCTTTCAGGGGAACAAAATTCAAGCCAGAGCAAATGCTCTGATAACTAACCGCTCTTAGAAGGACCCCTAAAGTCCTTTTAGGATTTTTTGGTGTTTTGTTCTTCTTTTCTTTTCTTTCTCTTCTTTCCCTCATGAAAAATCTGTAAATTAGGCAGAGCAGGTTTTCTTACCTCGCTTTGTTAATGGGGAAATTGGAGTATAAAACAATGACATGATTTGTCAAAAATAGAGATAAAAGGAGGATGCATGTCTCACAGCTCCTCACCCACGGCTTCTGATTCATACTCCTCCCCCGCTCAGCAGTTCAGAATATGTCAAAGGTAAGGATGAAATGTTGATTCCAGCCAGTCTCCCTAACAACGTTTTCTTGTTAAAATAAAAATATGTAAGCTGCTGAAAGATTAGTGGTTGCTGACTCCCCCAAAGAATCCAAACACCTTCCTCCTTCCTGCTCCTACATGGAGATAAGATCCTGCCAAGAGGATTCCAGGGAACCGCTCCTGTTTGTGGGGGAAGAGGAGGCATCACTTCCTTTGAGGCATCGTCCTCCTCCTGTTCTAAGTCCTATAGCCTCTCCTGGGGGTCCAGAGTTCCCATCATCACCTCCGACATGATAGGAAGAACACGGGCCTCAAGTCACCGCTGTCAGAGCCTCTCACTTGGGAATGGGAATCTTGAGTGGATTGGGACCACTTGAGTGGGAATTCCCAATCTTGAGTGGGAATGGGACCGCACAGGGTGGAGGGGTGCCTGGCACTGAGTCGTGCGTGGCAGGCACTCAGAGGCAGCTCCCGAGTCCTCAGTGATGAGGTTGTCAGGGCTTCTCTGCTTCTGTCCTTCCTGCTGTGTCTACTGTTCTCAGCTAAAGAGCTCTGGCATGTGCATATCCCCATGGAAGGGAGGCTGGGATGACTGTCCTGTGTGGTCATCGTGGTCTCAGGAGCATGGCTCAGTGACTTTGGCTAGGGAGCTCTTAAAAGAACTTGTGCATATGAGAGGAGGTGTGCAAGAGCTCAGCCAACATCCACACAGAGCTGGAGAGTGCGGAAGGCATCAGGGTTTAGAGCCACACGGCCAGGCCGCAGGAGTGCTCCACTGCTCAGCTTCAGCATCTGCCCTCGTCTCCTCCACACTTGCTCGGTTATGACATAACGCGTTCCTTGCACAGAGAACCCCCCCAAATCAAAGTGTACTCCTCATTCATGGAGGGGCCAGTTGAAAACACAACGTTTCAAAACCCTGGGCTCCATGTGCTTGGGGTTCCCGCGCCCCCTTGGACCTCAGTTATTCCACTATCCTGTGGACAGGGAGAAAGTGCAGCAGTTCTGCTCGAAAGTCTTCCCAGGCCAGATTGGGAAGAGGCCCCGGTACCAGCGGGACCCTTCTCTATGTTTATTTGAACTGAACTCTACAGGAGCAGGCGCTCTGTCTTGTTCATCCTTCTGTCCATTGGCTAAAATGTGGTCCACGGCCACACCTGTCCACAGGTGCTGGGAATGGCAGCGAGCCGTGGCCTGGCAGTGTACGGTCGTCTCTGCCTCACCAGGCCTCTTGCGAGGATCCCTTCTTTTCTCCTGCTTCTTAAATGTGAGTGTGTCTCGCGTCTGCCTCAGCCTCCTCTCTCTGTCCTCTTCCCACCACTCTGGGATGGGGCGTCTCTGCTGGGTATGGCCGGTGGAGACAACTCCCGAGTCGACAAACAATCTCTAAACATCTGACTTTTTCAAATAGCTCCTGTATCTTTGTTTCTCATCCTGCACTAGCCTGGAAATACAATTCTTTCATTTGCCCGGCAAATACTTACGGAGCCCTACCTTAGGCCTGTTTCCCTAAGGGGAAATTTTTTTGAAATGCCTGAGTCAGAAGCTTATACTTAACTTTTTATTGGGAAGTTCAATTCCAAGGAAGCAAAAAAGGGGAAAAGGGAAGTGAGGAAGACAGAGAAGGGGAATAGATACAAGGAGGCGAGCTCAGAATGGACCATTGGCAGGATGGTGTGAGGGCCGTGAGTGAGGTAGGACTCCTATCTGCCAGCATCTGTCTTCTCCTGGATCTGTTGCTCAGAGCCTTTCTTGGGGGATTTGGTCCCCATACATTCAACTTGTAATCCTGGCCTCTCCAGGGAAGTCCAGGGAGCCAGGGCTCCTGCAACCCCCCAGCCTAGGAAGAGGCCCAGCGCGTTGTCCTTGGCCAGCATCCTGCCCGCAGGCTCCTTGACCCCGGAGGTCGTGTTCACAGGTCTGAGACCAGGGAACCGGCAGGAGTGCTCCCCAGTGCTGCTCTGGCCAGAAGCAAGACGGGGAGCGGTGGGGAGGCAGGCCTAGCCCAGAGCGAGTGCCGGGCACTGTCACTGTGGCCTAGCACAGAAGCATGCACCAGACAGGGAGAGCCTGCCCTCGCGGAGCCTAACTGGGGTCAGAAGACGTCCGGCTGACAGGAGCCCCGTATCCCCCTGCCAAACACATTGTCTCCCCCCAAGGTGAGCGGCATCACACCCTGACCCCCCAGGTCTGCAGAGCTGCGGCTGCTCCCCCGCCCCTCACGCTCCCCCTCAACCCCGAGCAGGCCTCAGGGTCAGTCAGCATTCGTGAGTGCCCTTCCAGTGCTGGAAGTGAGGGCAGGCAGGGTCTTGCTCCCTGCCGAACACGAGGCACGCAGCCACACCCGGCCGCGGTAGGGTCTGCTGGGCGGGTGATGGTGTCAGGCCGGGGTTTAACCTCCACGACGGCCCCGGCGGGTCCGTCACAGATCGCTCCCGCCACTTGCTCCCTTGTGCCCCGCCACTGCCTTTCACCAGGACTCTTTCCAGAGCATCCCAACGATCTGACCTGGTCCTCCTCCTCCCAGACACATTTCGGAAGCCCAGCTCAAACCACATTTTGCCCCTGCTCCAGGCTTCCCAGCGTCTCCTCGCGGCTCACCTCAAACACAGGCTCCGGGCTCCGGGGCTCTGGAGGGCCTGGCCTCCATCTCACCTCCTCCCTCCACTCCCGTGTCCTCTACCCTGGACCAAACAGGGCCATCTCATTACTTCAGCTTCATAGTTTTACTCCCAAGATTCTTTCTTCCCTGTTCACCAAAGGAGCACAGTCCCCAGAAGGACCCCTTTTCAACAGGTGTTGACACTGTAGCCGTGAGGTACTAGACCCAGTGCCACAGATGTCCAGGTTGGCGTCTCAGCCCTGTGGGGTGTGCCCTGTGAAATGGCCAGCCCTGACAGGCGCCTTTTTTGTGCCATCTCCCTTCTGCCAAGCAGATCAGCCTCTCCTCTTGAAACCAAGGGGGGCCCTGTGGGGCTTCCAGCACAGAGAGGCCCTTTCCCGCTCATTTCTTGTAGGCAAGACTCCAGCCTCCGTGACTTTCCCTGAGGTCCAAAGGGCAGCTGTGAACAGTCGCTAACCACGGGAGGAGACACCAAGACCCACCGGAGGCCAAGATTAAAGGGCCCAGAGGATCAGGAGACTCTGCACACACCCTCACCTCGTCAGCAAGCCCACTCCTGGGAAGGACAGTTACGAAGCTTTTCATCCAGTCCTCCTGGGGGGGACACTTACTTTTCAAGGCGGGAGTCTACTGTGTCACCCTTTGCCTGGCAAAGTAATGAAGCTATCCTTTGCTCCTTCACCTGAAAACTCTGACTCTGAGACTCCACTCAGCACCAGTGTGCAGAGAAGCTGAGCTTTCAGCGTCACTCTCCCTGCCTCCCAGGGCCCACGCCATGCCCCCACCAAGACCACTTCTCATAGTGAAACTCACTCCCTGTCCACATGTCACGCATCTGCACATGTTCCCAAGGCTATGCATCCTCCAGTGAAAATCCTTCCTCTCCACAAAGCTTTCCTATTTGAGATCCTTTAAATCTCCACAACCCTTCAGCTATGTTCCTTATACCATGATGTGCACCATGTCTTATTCCCACTGATAAAATGCAAGTATCCATTTTGTGTCCCCACAAAGGGTCTGACTGTTGAATGAATGCATGCAAGAGAAAGAAAAGAAGGAAATTCAGTGAACACATAGTCAGGGCCTCCCCCACAGAGCAGAGGCTGAACGCCGTTTCCCAGTGGAGCACGTGTCAGAGGGAGAGAGGGGAAGCTGCTGACTTTTGATCCATGTGGCCAGAGGAAGCAGAGACTAGAGCCCAAAGGTGCTTGGTGACTTGGCTTCCGAAGGCGTTAAGGGCAGTTCTGCAAACGCCTCCTAAAAGCTTAAGTTTCAGTCTCACGTTCAGAACCAGCTGAGGACAGTCCACTTCCCCTACTCACAAGCGCCCACAGCAGTCAGGGGGCCCGTGATCACTTCTACATGCTCTCTAAAGAGGCTCCAATGCACTTCTATAACTTTACAGATACCGGTCTTCCTCTCCCCCAACACACATATGTCATTTAAAACCAGGTCTCAGAGAAGGAGATGAATGGGGTGTGGGGGATTCCAAAGGGCACCCATTTAAAACCAAATTGGCTGTCAGAAACCAGTGGTTGTCCTGAGGGTGAACTGATACACCCTTTCAGTTCAAGTAGACCAAGAGGAATTTGCGCTGGAATTTTTCCAACTTTAATGTATGCTGTCCAATTATTACACTTCATGGAAATCACTGCACCCTCCCTCCAGGCATGTTTGCCAGTGAAACAAAGAAATGAGTTTCAACTAGAGCTTTTGTTCCACCAAACACTCCTTTTCAGGCCCTGTATCTGTCACTACACGTGGCCAAGTGTGAGTTCAAGGATATTAAGTCCACCCTTAAGAAACGTATAGTCTAGCTGATCAAACAGGCCTAGACAGTAAGCATGATGAAGTGGTGTTGGAGACCCAGACTGGACAAAAAAGAACTTTCTAACAATGAGGATTATTAAACAAAGGATGGACCTCATGAGGAGGGAAAAATCCCAGCTCAAGAGGAATGCGGGGATGGGGGGACGTGTACATCCCCAGTGTATAAATGTATTATAAGCCTTAGAGGGGATCCTTGGGATCTAGTGACCCACCTCATTTGCAAGTGTCTAAACTCACTTTATTCCCCTTTAATCTGCCAACCGTAGTTGCCTAGGCATAGTTACAGGCAGCTCAGATGACCCCCACAATGATGATGCGAGCGGGACTCAAGGGCGACAGGGACAGAGCAAATAGAGTAGGTGACTGAGCAGTTAATCCCACTAGGGAGTTGTCAGTGGAAACATACTGGAGACCGCTATAAGTTAATGCTTGCTCAGGAAAGCAGGCTTGCTTAACCACAAAACCAAGCGGGCTTGCTTAGCAACAAAACCACGCAACAGAAGCACATGACATGCCCCAAACAGTGAAACAACGGTGGCATGAGACCCGTGCACCACCCAGCGAGCTCGGTGCATTAATGAGCCCTAGGACATGCTCTCTGCACACATCAAAAAACAGTAATTGTGGACCTAGCTTGACCACGTAGGGATGAGAAAACTCCCCTGGTCAACCTGGAGGAGGAATTGGTGATGGAAGCATGATGTCTACTCAAGAAATACAAAGACGTTCTCCTGCTCCCTACTTTCCTTTGATTATAAAGCTGTAGCCCAGTAAGTTCTCGGGCACGGCTTTTCTCAACAGCCACCTGTAAGCCTCACCAGCATCCTATTCTAAATGAATCACTTCTCATCTATCACTTTGCTGTCACTGAACTCTTCTCTGCACTGGGACATAAAGGACTATCGCACAAGCTCTTCGGAGGCCCCAGAAATGACGCCTAATGGCTTCAAGGGCACAAAACATTTCTGTGTCCTTCATTTCCTTGATTATAGGAAATAGCCTTCATTCAGCCTTCCCTGAGTGCCAATGGGCAGTTTCAAGGAGTTGTTAGTTAGGGAAGGGAGGGGATGCAAGACAAGGGAGAAGCAATGCAGCCCAGCCTTGGGGCAAGGTCCTGTTTCCCATCAACGGATACACACACTATCTTTGAGCCATTCTGCAGATACTGAAACCCCCTCCAGGTGAGAGAAGTTAAGGACTATCAATGGTATGCCGCCCGCCCGCAGGCTTGCAGACCCCAGACCAGTTGGGCCTGAAGGATGACGGTACTGACTTCTACTTACCTCATCCAAGAATGTCCACGAGCTGATCATACCTTCTTTGAACAATTACTATAAAACCTCTCACCACCTTCTTAGGTTGGGACACACAATTTTGAGGACATTAGCCCGCTGTGGCTCCCCTTTACCTGGCAAAATAATAAAGCTATCCTTTTCTGCTTCACCCCAAAGTCTGTCTCTGGGTTTTGATTTGGCATTGGTGTACAGGGAAGTTGAGCTTTAGGGAACACGAACATTTTAACTCACTGTAGGTTCCTAAGAACTTCAGGTTGGGTCACACGCCCTTACCCAAGAAGCCCGGGGAGATGTCAGGACTTGCCTCCCATTTCACCAGTCTGGTTCTGTGTGTGTGTGTGTGTTGGGGGTGGGGGGTTGGTGGAGAGGGAGGTATTGATGGGTTGGTGTGTATGTGCAGCGTTAAGAGTGAGGAGGGCGAGGTGTGGGGACCAGAACCTCTCCCTAGCAGGCTGACGGCAGGACACATGTGAGTCTGATAATTCAACCAAGAAAAGGGCAGCTTTACTGGCTGGCTTCCAGCAGCAGATGCAGAAGTTCCTAAAAACAGCCAGAGGCTTTTTATGGTAACAGACCCTCTGAGCCACAGACTCAGACCCTCACGCCTCTCCTGCCTTACCCCTGCCATCCACCCGCCCGCCCTGCCCTGCCCCGGGGCCCAACGTCTCAGTAAACTCAGTTCTCAGGGGCCCCAGATCCAGTCAGCTGGGAGCCCAGCTTTCCATCCCCACCCACTCCACCCACACGGCTGAGGTCACACCAGCCCAGCCTCTTTTGCAACTTTCCCAAGTTTGTGCGTAAAGAGAGAGGAGGAAAACTCAGAAGGAAGTGACTTGGCTTCAACAAGTTTGCTCCCAAAGCCTTTTTCCTCTGATCTAGCTGAGACTGCTGTTCTAAGAGGAGCCCCCCAGACTCAGAGAAAACCCCCCACCTGCCATCAGAGGCTGAAAAGGCTCTGGAAGATTTTCCTGGCTCTTGTCTGTTCCAGCAACACCAGAGGTATTTGGGTTCGGGGGTGTGGGGAGGAGTGGAGGATAGAGAGGCTTTGAATCTGGCAGCTGCGGAGCGTAGATCCAGCCCAGAGACCCCCTCCACGCTTCAGCAGCTCCCAGGGGGTGGCAGGAAGCCAAGACAGAAAGGACTCTTTGCCCAGCCCAGGGAGCCGGGGCCCGGCTCGGGGCTCTGCATGGCCGCAGGTGGGGGCAGGACGGTGCGGCTGGACACACAGTCAGAGGAGGGCAGAGAGGGAGCCGGGCGGGGCTGGGTCCTGCATCACCCCGTCACACTGACAGGGCACCTTCCGGCATGGAACCGCGTCAACCCAAGGGTCTCATAGGGGAACGGGAAACTCCTGGTGTAGGAAAGCGTCCCTCTTGTTCTAAATCATAAATATTCCTCAGCATAGCTCTGCAGGGCTCGGGGAGTCAATGAACAGAGTTGAACAGACTCAGAGCTTAGCCTTGGCTCACCATGGAACTGCGTCAACCCAAGGGTCTCATAGGGGAACGGGAAACTCCTGGTGTAGGAAAGCGTCCCTCTTGTTCTAAATCATAAATATTCCTCAGCATAGCTCTGCAGGGCTCGGGGAGTCAATGAACAGAGTTGAACAGACTCAGAGCTTAGCCTTGGCTCACCGCAAGCTAGTTGTTCTCAACTCTGGAGTCCACTGGGCTATAATGGCATTTTGTTAACTGCAAAGTGTCATATAATTGCTAGGCATTGTATATTAATAAAAGTAATTGCTTTGGACTGGCTGATCCATTCCCCACCACAGAGTGCTGCGGAGATAGTGATTGATCTATATCTTCAACCTCCATAGTACTGATGTGTGGTAGGCATGCAGTACATATCCTGAAGAAAGGATGGGTGGATGGATGGGGGTGGATAAATGACTGTTTATTGAAGACTCAATATTCCTGGCATGCGTCAGCCTCTAGGGGGATTGAAAGGTGTGAGGCATTGTCCTGCCCTCTAGGCACTGACAGTCTACTTGGGAAGATACAACAAATACCCCCAAAGAACTTAAAGAACAGGAGTGCTGAGCCTCCTGAAACCAAGACTGGGGGTATACCTCCCCCAGTAGGTATAGGGAGCAGGTCTAAACCTGCTAGGATTTGGGTGGGTGAGGCAGACTTGCAAGGCTTCCTGAGAGGCAATAAAGACGTGTGCTCTCTTGATAGCCTCTTTTCAAAGACAAACTTGCTCCCAAAGACAAAGTTGCTCCCAAACTTGTAAACCCCATTTATGTGTTGGGGTGGATACCTCTGTGATTTGCCAAGGCGTGGGAGCAGAGAGGGCAGGCAGCGCCATGGAGTAGGAGGAGGGGGCAGGCTTTGCCAGCTTCTGAACGCCCGTCTGCCCGGCTCACTGCCTCTCATCCCTCCTCCCTGTCCACAGCAGTGACCCTCACCCAACACCAAGGAGGCAGAAGCTTGTGTCTGGGTCCCGGTTGGGGCCAGAAGGGCAGAGAGAGAAGGAAAGTGGACAGGTAAAAGCAGTGCAGGTCCAAGAGTTCTTAGGAGACTGGCTTAAAAAAACATGTGCGGAGGGATGTGCGCTGGGGAGGTATCAGCTCTGTCTCTCTTACTCTCTGGGCAATGAGTTACACTGCAGCTTTAGCAGATGGGCAAGGCTGAGTCCTGCCAAGCAAGAGAACAGTCCCTGGCAGACTCTACTCTGTGTGGGCTGGGCTGGCTGAACAGGGGCCCTGCTTTCCAGACCTGCTTTTCTCTGTTATTTAACAGTGGAGGGTAATGACTCAGTCTGGCCTCTAGGAGGATGCACTGGTTTAAAGCATCTGAGTCAGCTGGGTTGGGAGGGAGAAAGCTTTTGACAGTCACTGCCAAAGCCTAGCCAAAGACAGAACCCGGAGGATATGGGAAGAGCCTTCAGCACATGCTTCCCTGGTGAGCCCAGCCAGTGTCTATCCACAAGCCACCTTCTGTCACCATTGATGCCATCCTGGTCACCCTCCTACTGCTAGTTATCCTGGGGCCAGTGACCAAGCTGTTTTATTTTATTTTTCAAATAGAAGGACTCACACATTTACTACTGAACCACCCTACCAATGCCTAAGCATAGAAACAAAGAGAAAAAACATTTTTTCCCCAGTAGAATGTGCCCAGCTGTCCAGACAGTGGTGATGTTTTCAGCTACATGTAATAAATAGCAGTGACCTTTATACAGTATCAACACGGGACCCTCTCACGTGGCATTCCTTACAGACCTACCTGGGTTCTTCTCCGAGGTCTCTTGGAGTTGTACCTGGTCTTGTTACCAGCTGTCATGTGAACCCATTGGGAGAATGGGATATTTCTTCTGCTTCTGTTTCTTGGCCAGGAATTGCTTGATCCTGAAAGTCTTGGGAGAAGGCACAGTGAGGAACGGGGTCAGCCACACACACACGGGGTCGTGGAGCAGCGGGGGCGGCATGCTGTTGTAAATAGCCGCTGCAGCAAATCCCTGCCGTTCCGGGGTGGGGTGGGGGGTGGAACCGTCTGGCAGCACACTTTGAGGGCACATTAGGGGAAGGACCAGGTGGTGGCAGGTGAGGGAGCTCAGAGGAGAAGCTGAGGTGAGCTAGAATCTGGAGAAGAAAAGACTCAAGTAAAACTCCAACCCTATGAATCTCTGGAGGGCTGCCATGGAGCAGAGAAGCTGGACCTTCTTTCTCTGGCTTCTGGGGGACATCCACCCCTCGTGGAGAGAAGCTCTTTGGGGGAAGGTCTGGCTCCATCTCTCCATGAATATGGTGGAGGTGTGGGAGGTTGGACCAGGTGAACTTCGGGGTCCTTCTCTGGTATACTGGAGCAGATCCACAACAGTCACTTGAAATCAGCCATGGTGGGAGTCTTTACACCACAGAAAGCAGCAGGCACTGCGAATCAGGTCTCTGTCCCCCACCACGGTGAACCATTTACCTGGGTCTTTTCAGTTTACTGTAGAACATAACACACCTGCTACCCTGCAGAGACAGCCTCAGCCATGAGGGATGTGCCCACAAGGGAACAGGCTCCCCAAGTTAAGAAACTCTCCCAAGGTCACAAGCATATGGAGGTGGGATGAAAATCCTGGCTCTGAAATTCATGGTCATGCCATGGTCCCCAGAGGCCTCTCTCCTGCCCCAGACACAAATGTGACTGTCCTCTCAGATGACTTTGGGCTGCCATCCACCCATCCACCTGCTCTTTTTTAAGGAATGTTATCTTTATTGAATATTTTTAATCACAATAACTTAGACTTGTGTAACAAATTTTAACAAGATGTATATAAATTTAAACAATAGCTCCTAGCTTTAATCTACCTTTCCCAACCTATTAATCATTCAGCATGTATCTATCCATAGCTTTCTGTGTATTTCAAAGAAAGAGAGTGAAATAGCTCAGTTGTGTCTGACTCTTTGCGTCCGCATGGACTGTAGCCTACCAGGCTCCTCTGGCCATGGGATCTCCCAGGCCAGAGTATTGGAGTGGGGTGCCATTTCCTTCTCCAAGGGATCTTCCCAACACAGGGATCGAACCCAGGTCTCCCGCACTGCAGGCAGACTTCTTACCATCTGATTCACCTGGGAAGCCCCAGATTGGAACCTGAGGGTAGTCCCCATAATTGACTTAAGAGCATGGTTGACTGACACTGGAGCCACTATAATTCAGCATTTCTATGGAGAATTTCTCCAGGCAAGAATACTGGAGTGTTGCCATTTCCTTCTCCAGGGGATCTTCCCAACACAGGGATTGAACCTAGTTCTCCCGCATTGCAGGCAGATTCTTTACCGACTAAGCTATGAGGGAAGCCTCTGTGTATTGCAGGACAAGGAAGTTTGTGTGTGTTTAAGCATAAATACAATATTAAACACATGATCACATACTTAGGGCTGCTGTTTGTTTTTATACAACTGGGATCAAACTATGCAAAATGTTCAGTGATTTTATTTTACTTAAATCATCATCCTTTTCCACTTCATTAATTGACTCCTTTGAAAACTGCCTAGTATTCCAGAGTATGAATGGTCATAATTTATGCCACAGCCTCTTACTGATGGGCATTTAGGTTACAGTGTTCTTTAGCAATCATTTTTACAAAAATGTGTATTTGAGCATATGTGTATTTCTGTTGGATACACTTCTAGAATTAGAATCTAGGGTGTGTTCCTATTAAATGTTGTTACTGTCAAATTGCCCTTCAAAAAAGATGGTGCCAATTCATAGTATAGCAGCAATAAATGAGAGTTTTTCCCACCCATTTGTCAACACCAATTATTTTTTTACTGTTAGTTTTTTTTAATTTGTTTATTTTTTAATTGAAAGAGAAGTGCTTTACAGAATTTTGTTGTTTTCTGTCAAACCTCAACACGAATCAGCCATAGGTACACAAATGTCCCCTTCCTCTTAAACCTCCCTCCCATCTCCCTCCCCATCCCACCCCTCTAGGTTGGTTCAGAGCCCCTGTTTGAGTTTCCTGAGCCAAACAACAAATTCCTATTGGCTCTCTATTTCACATATGGTAATATAAGCTTCCATCTGACTCTTCCCATACATCTTACCCTCTCCTCCCCTCTCTCCATGTTATTATCAATCTTTTTTTATTATTTACTTAGTTAGCTATTTGGCTATGCCAGGTGTTAGCTGTGGCATGCAGGATCTTTGCTGCATAATGCAGGAACCTTCATTGCAGCGTACTGACTCTCCAGTTTTGGTGAGCAGGTTCAGTAGTTGTGGCATACAGGCTTAGTTGTTCCATGGTGTGTGGGATCTTAGTTCCCTGAACAGGAGTCGAACCCACATCCCCTGCATTGCAAGGCAGATTCTTAACCACTGGACCACCAGGGAAGTTCCTATCATCAATCTTCTTAATTTTTGCTGTTCTGGTGGGTGAAGAAAGTAGTATTTTTTAACTTTGCATATCCTTAAAAAGTGGTAGGTTTGAGTACCGCTCAAAACTTACTACTTATCATTTATAAGATCTCTGCAGGTTACTTATTCTTTGCTCACTTTTATGTTCTGTGTTGTCTTTGATTGTCGTCTGTAGAGTGCTTTACACAGAGTGGATATTGATCTTTTGTTATACACATACGCTTTCTACCTTCCCAGCTCTGCTGCACCATGTCAATCCCAAACCATCCAGCCCCCAGGACTCTGCCAGGGGCACCAAGAGGGTGTGTGGTCCTCAGTGCAGATTCACAGAAGGCAGGATGTAGGACTTAGCAGTTAAGAGTGTGTTCTCTGGAGTCAGGCCTGGATTCAAATCTCAGCGACTATTAACGTGGGCTCTGCCATCACAGACTGCTTCTTGGGGTGAACTACATACCTGGCTTCTCTAAACACCTGCTTCTTTAGTGGTAAAACAGAGACAATAGTAGCATCAATCCCCCAGGCTATTTTTGGGTACTAGTAATAGCCATCAGATAGCTAACATTTCTTGAGCCCTTAATTTGTGCCATAAATGCATTGTAATAATGTATTATGTGTGTTGTTAACCTCACGATGATATGCACATCATTTGCCTACTCACACAGCGCTCCACACAGCACCAAAGTAAACCTTAGCCTGGGGTGCGTGCTGATGGCTCTGCCTGGTGACGCCTCACTCCTCTGCTTCAGGACGCTCAGGGACCCCTGGTCAGTCTGCACACGGGACCCCTCTCCAGCAGTCCGTTCCCTCAGCTTCTGCTGCGCCTGTTGTCGTTTAGGCTGCCTTTCTCTCGGTCCCCTACAGCCCTGCCAGGATTTGGTTGGAGTTTACCAGACCTGAGTCAAATAGTCTGGATCCAGTGCACACAGATTCTACAGATTCGGGCTCAGGAGGTCAGGGGGCAGCACGCGCAGAGTGGCCTCTCTGGCCTCCGGCTCACACACTAGCTCATCCATACGCTGCGTGTGTGGCCTTAGACGTGCTACCAGGGACTTGGCTTCTCTCAATCCCCTTGTGCTCATCTCGGAGCTCAGGACCCTCTAAGTCCTACGGAGCAACCCTGTGGACGCTCAGCCAGTGCTGGCCCCCTTCCCGCCCCGCTGCCCCGCTGTTTTCTGACTCCCCGGGGCTCTGTACTGGCTTTTGAGGCTAAGCTAGCTGGTTACACCAATGCCTTTAGGCAGGAGCCCACCCTCGCTCCCTTTCCTGAGTGGTGACTGATGCTCAGAGACACATGCCCTCAGGAGCTTCTGAGTCACTTATCCCGCAGCTGGTTTCCGGGTGGGCAGTGACCCCATTACAACACACCAGCCCTGGCCAATACCTNTCACATATGATAATATACATGTTTCAATGCTACCCTCTCAGATCATCCCACCCTCGCCTTCTCCCACAGAGTCCACAAGACTGTTCTATTTATCTGTGTCTCTTTTGCTGTTTCACATATAGGGTTATCATTATCATCTTTCTAAATCCCATATATATGCATTAGTATACTGTATTGGTGTTTTTCTTTCTGACTTACCTCACTCTGTATAATAGGCTCCAGTTTCATCTACCTCATTAAGAGATGCAGGTTTAATCCCTGGATATGGAAGATCCCCTCAAGGAGAACATGGCAACCTACTCCGGTATTCTTGCCTACAGAAGCCCATGAACAGAGGAACCTGGCAGGCTACAGTCCATAGAGGCAGAAAGAGTTGGACCCAACTGAAGCGGTTTAGCAGGCATGCATATATATAAACATACCTATAAGTATTTTCCTCTTACAGGAACAAAACATGTTTGACATGTTTGCTGTAAAAAAAAAAAAAATGGAACATACTGAAAAGTAAAGAGAACAAAATTAAAATCATGTAGTTTTCTACTGCCCAGAATTAATCACTTACATTTTTTATATATTTCCTTCTAGAACTTTTTCCATGCAGGTAGGAATTCATTTCAGGCTTCCCTGGTAGCTCAGCTGGTAAAGAATCTGCCTGCAATGCAGGAGACCCTGGTTCAATTCCTGGGTTGGGACAACCCCTTGGAGAAGGGATAGGCTACCCACTCTAGTATTCTTGGGCTTCCTTGGTGGCTCAGATGGTAAAGAATCTGCCTGCAATGCAGGAGACCTGGGTTCGACCCCTGGGTTAGGAAGATCCCCTGGAGGATAGCATGGCAACCCACTCCAGTATTCTGGCCTGGAGAATCCCATGGACAGAGGAGCCTGGTGGGCTACTGTCCATGGGGTCCCAAAGAATCGGACATGACTGAGCGATTAAGCACACCACAGGAATTCATTTCAATACTGGGGGTGGGGGGCTGGTATGGTTTCTGCAGTTTAGTGTCTTTTGGTTTTCATTTAGATCCCATGGCATAAGCACTTTTCCACATTATTATAACACACTCACAAACTCCATTGTAATGACTGCTTAAGAGTTCACTCTGTGCCATAATTTTTTTAACCACTTCTTAATTGTTGGATGTTTATAAATGACACTGGGGATGAACATTCTTGAACAAGAGCCTTTGCCCGCATTTCAGATAATTTTTTTAGAACAAATTCCTAGAAGTGGAGGGCAGGGACATTTTTAAGGCTCTCCGTACTTTCTGCCAAGCAGCTTTCCAGAAACATGTACCAATTACACCCCCACCAGCTACATGAGAGAAGAGCCTTTTGATTCTGCCAAGGCAGCAGCACCTCGGGCTGGGGGAGGGCACTGTTCCACCAGAGGCCTCTCTGCAGTCCGAACAATGGGCCCCTTGTCCCGCCCCCATCTCCTCTTCCCGCACTGCCCTCCATCCCCGGCTCCAGTCTTGTCTGTCTGCAAGGCCTCTGTTCAGTCCAGTCCAGCCTTGGCGCTCCAGGCTGCTGCCTCCAAGAGCAGGGTGGGTACAGCTGAAGGTGAGAGGAAAGCCTGTCCCGTGAGGCCACCATCCTTCCAGCCCCAGAGAGACTCCCAGGAGAAGTGAGGGCAGGGGTGTGTAAGGGTTGCTAAGTCATCTGCCTCTGCAGAACAAGCCCACCCAAGCCCCTGGTAGGGATCTGCACATGACAGGGGAAAGGAGAGGCCAGCCCCAGTGACAAAGGCCACAGGGGCCTCTGGCTAGCTTGGGAACGACTTCTATTTCCCTGCAGATTCCGAAGCCCCTCCATGAATCCTCGGAAGAAGGTGGACCTCAAGCTCATCATCATTGGAGCCCTGGGGTAAGCCAAGCTCAGCTCGGGGCCTGGGGGCTGGGAAGCAGCCTCTCCCAAGGACAGTGAGACATCCAGGATGTGCTGCCCGCTTCCAAGGGTCCCCTTCTGATTCAGGGTGGCCCCAGGGAGGGTGTTCCACCCCAAGGAAGGGAGCCGAGGTAGGAGAAACAGGCCGGCTGTCAGACTACCTGGTCTCTGACCCCAGCTCTGTGGCAAGGCCACAGTAACCAGATGTGTGAACTAGGCAAACCATTTGGCATGTCTGCCTTCCTCCATCTCGCCACATACAGGAAAGGTCTGGCCGTTTTGCTGGGAGGCACTCAGCTCTCTACAAACTTCTCTGCTCACTTTGGTCCCTATTTCTAGAGTCCATTCCCTAGTCCCTTGCTACTCAAACTGCAAATGTTAGAAATTCAGAGTCTCAGAGAGAAATGCTGGTGAGAGGGGCAAGATGCTGAGAATGGTATGGGGGTGTGTGTTCACGTGTCCTGGTTTTTTCTCTCAGTGTTGGAAAGACCTCCCTCCTCCACCGATATGTGCATAAGACGTTTTACGAAGACTATCAGACCACACTGGGGGCCAGCATCCTCTCCAAGATTATCATACTGGATGACACAACCTTGAAGCTACAGGTGAGCAACCCTCCCATCCCCTCTTCAACTACATACCTGAAAGTCACCCCACAGTTCCCAGACAGGCACTCACACAGCAATGTGCACCCAGAAATAGAATGGAGCATAGGTCAGCAAACTTCAACTCGTGGACCAAATCTGGTCCTCCATCTGCTTTTGAAAATAAAGTTTTAATGGAACACAGTCCTGCCATTTGTCTCCTCATGACCTTATGGCTGCTGTCACACTACATCAGCAGGATTGAGCAGCAGCAACAGGCAGTACTGTCTGCAAAGCCTGTTATTCAGGAGTACTTTCACATCTGACCTGGGAGAAAATGAGGGCTCAGATGTGAAAGTAGTCTTAAAAGTGTTAGTTGCTCAGTCGTGTCTGACTCTTTGCAACCCCGTGGACTGTAACCCGCCAGGCTCCTCTGTCCGTTGGATTCTCCAGGCCAGAATACTGGAGTGGGTAGCCATTCCCTTCTCCAGGGGATCTTCCAGACCCAGGGATCAAACCTGGGTCTCCTGCATTACAGGCAGATTCTTTACTGTCTGAGCCACAGGGAAGCTAAACATTAGTGCAGATTCTGTAGTGTACATGAATGACAGAGAGTCATGTCCGTGTATGGAAGGACCGCATGCACCTTTACCAGGGCTGTCTGCCCCCTACCCAAAAAGGAAGCTTTGACATGAGGTGGCCTGGTTGAATGTCCCTTCAGTCACTCATCACAGCCCCATGGGGCCACTGCTCTTTCCCTTCCAGATCTGGGACACAGGCGGCCAGGAGCGATTCCGCTCCATGGTGTCTACATTCTACAAAGGCTCTGATGGCTGTGTCCTGGCTTTTGATGTCACTGACCTGGAGTCCTTCGAAGCCCTGGAAACCTGGCGGGGTGATGTTCTGGCCAAAACCATTCCAATGGAGCAGTCCTACCCCATGGTGGTGCTCGGGAACAAGATAGATCTGGCAGACCGGCAGGTACCGTCAGCTCATTCATCCACTCACCAAACACGTGAGGACCAGTTACATGCCAGGCGCTGGGCTAAGTCCCACACATACAGAGCTGAAGCGGGCATAGTCCTTACCTTAAGAATTTCACAGTCTAGTAATGGATGCATTTTAAGGATAATTATGATGCAATAAGGTAAATCATGAGCAGTCATAGAGAACACCTTGGGGACCACAGTGAAAGGGCATCTATCTAGTCAACCCAGGGTATAGCAAGGGCTTCCTAGAGGAAGTGGTTCCAGGCTAAAGAAACAGCATGAGCAAAGGTAAGAAATAGCATCATGATATGAGCTGAGAACCGGAGGCAATTTTGTCTAGAGACAGGGAATGGAAGAATGAAGGCCTAAGAAGTAGGCAGGTGGGATTTGAATTAACCTGTAGAATAGTATTTTTTTTTTTTTGGTAGAATATTAGTTCTACCCAAGATCAGATAGGGAGTCTGTAGTTATGAATCCTTGAATCTTCAAATATTCTGAGAAAGTAGTAATATGTGTTTTATTAGCTTAAACATACTCTACATCATCTGGCTAACCACTTGACAAATGATCTGCTTTCTCCATGACTGCAGTGACCACACTTATGTAGGTATTTACTTATTGCAGTGGCATTGAGTCAAGCTCTGTTCATCATTGCCTCCTAATAAGAAAAGAGTAAAAGTAAACTTAATTTATAAGACTCTCTTGAGCCAAACAAAACCCGAAAGACACCACAAAGAGTGTTTGAACAAGTTGTCTTAGTGTTTCAAATAGAGAAAATAAGTGGGGAACTGAGTCATCATATTTGAACCACACTTTCAAAAGGTTTCAAATAAAAAGTGATAGAACTGAGGCATCATTTGGAAGGATGAAGGGTGGATGGTGAGTGAGGGTGCTTCCAGCTAAGCCTCCTGTTTGGAGAGAAAGATGAGTTTGGATTTGACATGCTAAGTTTGAGGAGCTTGTAGAACAACTGATTGGGGATGACCAGTAGACTTTAGAACACATAAGAATGAAACTTCAAAGGAGAAGTCTGTGTTGGAAATAGAAATCTGGAAGTCATTAATTCTCTGGTCACTTCAGGTTGCAAATTTAGTGTCAAGTTGCAAATTTAGTGTCAATTCTCTAATTACAAATCCTCAGTCTCAAATAAGAGTCAAAGTCCCAAGTTCATTCACAGCCAAGCAGTCTCAAATGTTCACACTGGGGCCAGCAGCAGGTGAGAACTCGGGGGCCTAGGAAGCAAATCCCATTGCCAACTTTACACGTCCACATGTCCTCCCTTCTCAGGATAATTCTGGTTCCAGGCTCTGTTAGGAGTGAAGCAGAAAGAGGGAGAAGTGGTCAGAAGGGCAGGAAAATCTTTATTTAACTGGTACTGTCTTGAGATAGTTTGTGCGGTCCAGCAGATATGTCAAGCTGTCTCTTGGTGAGTGATTCCTTTGGGTCCTAAGAAGCCTCCAGTGGAACATTTAAATGTACCTCCCATGACAAAGGTCTTGCATATTCTTCCTCTCTCTCCTCAGTTCCTAATTTAGGAGTTTAAGAGCCATCCTCCATCCTACAGTTCCGCTTCTCCTGCGGATGCGCTCCTGACGGGGTTTATAACAGCTCCAGGCTGGCGAGCTCTTCGGGGTGCCCACCTCTCCTTCTCAGGGCACAGCAGTGCATGCTGGCTGCACTGGCGAGCCTGGGGTAATTCGTTCTCAGGGCACCATCCTCCCTCTGCCCTGATGCCTTCCACCTTAAATCCCGGGGGTGCAGTTAGACAGCAGCCCACTGTAGCCACAGTCATGTGGCCTCCTTGAAGCCCTCTTTTGGTCAGAGTTGAAGCTTTATACGTTCTTCCTCTTGTGGGGGTGTTCCCCCAACACAGTTCTCTGCAAAAAATATCCTTTCTAAACCCTCCTTTTAAATCTTTTTCCATCCATGCCAGAGGGCTTAGAGTCATTCAGCAGACCTTTGGGAATGGGGAGGGTCCCGTGGGTGGGCTATCTCCCAACCACCTTGGTATCCAGCATCTATCAGATGGTAGTATCTCTGCCACAACTTCCATTTTAGTATCTTGCTTCTATAGGTCGTGGGGTGGGAGGTCAGGGGTGTTCAAGACTGAGAGTCTGACTTTCCCTCAGTGAAATAAGAGGCCTCATCTTCTGCTGAGAGGGAGGAGAAAGGGAAGCAAGAAGGAGTCTTAAGAATCACGGTGAGGCTGTGCCACGTACTCTGGAGAGAAACAGGTGAAGGAGTTGGCCAAGGACGAAGTCCAGAACTGACGGTGGACCGCAAGGGCCCCCCTGAGGGAGGAGACCAGGAGGCCAGCTGAGCGGAGTCGGGGTTGTGGTCCTCTTCAACAGCAGTGCAGGGGGTGAAGGCCAGGGCCCTGACGGCAGGCTTTTCCAGATAAGAGCAGCTGAAGAACAGAGCCGTGAGGCCACTGATACCCGTGGAGGGAAGATGAGGGACCAGGAGAGGCTGGAGAGCCAGGGGGCTGTCAGGCTGAAGAGCAGGGCAAACGGAGGAAGGGGAGAGGAGGCCAGGTGTAAAGGTTCATGGAGGCCCTGGACTGGGGCTGGAGGGCAGGCGGAATGGGGAGGAGGTGGAGATGGCGGGAGGGAAGGAAGTGTGAGGCTCGGGGCTGCGTGGAAAGGAAGCTTCACCAGATCACAAGCCTCCAAGGAATGACGGTACCCGGATGGGAGGCGTAAGTGATGACTCAGAGGGGTAGAGGCATCCTATTCCAGCAGAGGGGGCATGAGCTTTGTTCTGCAGAGAGAGGAAGAATAAAGGTTTGAAAGAAGCAGTGAAGCCCCAGGCAAGCCCAACTCCGTCTCTGGGATCTGTGCTGAACAGGGTGTGGAAGGAGCTCCCCCACCCCCCGACTGGAGAAGGCGACAGGATTTGGAGGGGGGCCAGCCGGAGGAAGAGAGGTGAGGAAGTGCTCACAGGCATGAAACGAGCACAGCAAAGTGCAGAGGAGGAACTGGGAGTGGGGCGCGCAGAGGGACTTTGATCCAGAGACCCAGGGTGGGGAGCCAGAGGTGAGGCTGGGAGGTGGCCGCCCTCCAAGGGCACAGACCGGGCAGAGGATGCCGCCAGCCCTGAGAGGCGAAGCCCGGGCTTGGGGAGCGGGCTGCAGATAGTCCTCACTTGCACAGGGTTGAGTGGATAAGGAGCACCTTCTCTGAGCTCAAATTCATGTGTGTCTTTGGCCAGTTCCAGCTTCTCTGTGAAACAGACACCAGACTCAGATTTCATGAGGTTATCTGAGGCTCCGTAGGCAATGATGCCTATAAAGCACATGGCAATCTTAATACATGAAAGAGATTGTTCCCACCTTCTTAATTTCATATCTCCAATGTGTGGGCTGGGAATATAGAGAAGTTCTTCCTACTTACCAAAAAGAAAATGAATATTTAAAACGTAGATGCTAGATGTGGCATGATGAAGTGTTAGTCGCTCAGTCATGTCCAACTCTTTGCAACCCCATGGACTGTGACCCCATGGACTGTATCCTGCCAAGCTCCTCTGTCCATGGGGTTCTCCAGGCAAGAATACTGGAGTGAGTTGCCATTCCTTTCTCCAGGGGATCTTTCCCATCCAGGGATTGAACCTACGTCTCCTGCACTGCAGGCAGATTCTTTACTGACTGAGCTAGGGAAATGAATATTGATGATGGTTGCACAGTGATGTCAATGTATTGATGCCACTGAACTGGATGCTTCAGTATAGTCAGAATGATATATTTTATATTTATATATAAATATGCATTATATATATAATATATAATTATATAAATATATTATACTTATATAAAATCTAAATTTTATATTTATATTTTATATTTATGTATATTTTACCACAATCAGTCAATCAATATCTCACCAGGATAGTTGTAAAGAAATTGCCGACTTAGGTTTTTCTTAAAGTATCTACCTGTTTTACAGAGATAAAAGTGAAAAAAAAATTGTTAAAAAAACCCAACTCTGCTAGCATCTATGCTATGAGGAATTTATTCACTAGGATATAAATTCTTTGCTCTCAGGTAGGCAGTTTCTGATTTACTGCTGATCCATAACATTGGGATTATGTTTTCTGAAGATATTGTTATTTTTTATTGGTTTAAGATGTATCTGACCTATCTCAAGACATACAATTGATCATTTTAGATGCATATGAGATGGGAAAGCATCATAAATAAACGTCTGCAAAATGGACTAATTTTGTCAAACATTTGACTGCTGATGAAAAGTAAAATGTTAATAGTATGTGCATGCTAAGTCACCTCAGTTATGTTCTACTCTTTGTGACCCTACAGACTGCAGCCCACCAGGCTCCTCTGTCCATGGGATTCTCCAGGCAAGAATACTAGAGTGGGTCATCATGCCCTCCTCAGGATCTTTAGGACCCAGGGATCAGTCCCACATCTCTCATGTTTCCTGCTTTTGGAAGTTGGGTTCTTTACCAGTAGCACCACCTGGGAAGCCCGTTAAGAGTATATTGTCATGGACAGAGGAGCCTGGTGGGCTGCAGCCCATAGAGCAGCAGAGAGTCAGACCCCTGACTGAAGCAATTTAGTATGGAGACACATCAGCCAAGACAAAAATCAACGGAGGTAACGCTTCCAAAGTTTTCACCCTTCCCAGGTCTCCATGTACCACAACCTGAGTTTATGTCTGCAGGCAGAGTCTAAGTCATATATAACTGTTATTTTATAAATAAAAGACAACACGATTTTAAAAATCATGAGGCTGATGCTAGAATTGGAAAGGAAAAGTGAAAAGTGAAAGTGAAGTCGCTCAGTCGTGTCCAGCTTCCCATTTCCTTCTCCAGGGGATCTTTCCCACCCAGGGATTGAACCTACGTCTCCTGCACTGCAGGCAGATTCTTTACTGACTGAGCTAGGGAAATGAATATTGATGATGGTTGCACAGTGATGTCAAATATATAACTGTTATTTTATAAATAAAAGACAACACGATTTTAAAAATCATGAGGCTGATGCTAGAATTGGAAAGGAAAAGTGAAAAGTGCCTTGTGGGTCATTTTTCACCCCGTGGTGACTCTCTGAGGTTGACTGGAAGAGGTGAGGGGATTATAAAAGGAACCTTAATTTGCAACACAATCTCAACTGATATTCTGGAGTATGTATTTAACCACTCCGTAAAAGCTGGACAGAGAATGAGTGGGGAGAAATGAGATAAATGTCTATCACGCCAGGCAGCGGGCAGGGTCGGTCACTGTCCGTGGCAGAGAAGGGGCTGTACTGGTGCATCAGCAGGCTGTGTGTATGGGCTTATCTTCCTAGCTCTGTCTCTGGGTGAACTTGGGCACCAGTCTGGGCTTCTGCTTCTCATGCCATGAGATAGGAAGAAGCTCCCTGCCTCCTGGAGAAGCAGAAGCACCTGAGTTCATTTCAATTCGCTTCCACGTTTACTGCAACTCCTAAGGACCAACTGTGAGGCCAGAAAGATGCTCGTCACCTGGCGGGGCGGGGGAGGAGTAGGATATAAAGCAGGAGGGAACAACAAGAAGAGTAAGTCCAGTCCTTGCCCTAAAGTCTTTTCAAGGACTTTAAAAGATACAAAGCCCTTTGCATTCCTAAGATGCCCTCAACGGATCACAACAGGTTCATTTCTAATGATCAGTTATGTGTGTGCTACCAGTGAGGACAATGATAATCAGCAACCTGGCTGTCCTTGACACTTCATCCATAGTTCAGGATTTTCCCAAGCTGTGAGGCTTCTTGGCTGTTTTCTGGGTCAGGGGCGCTTATGCTCCAGGGGAGGGGGCTGTCCTGGCCGGCTGGGGAGCCCCTCGCACCACGAGGCAGGAGGACCTTAGAGACCAGAGGCCAAGACCAGCGCCTGGGGCCGCTCCCTGCTCTGCTCCAGCGCAGCAGCTCCCGGGAGGCTGGGGAAGGAAGCCCCAGAGGGCAGGCCGCTCAGCCGACCCCAGTGCCTGGGCCACTCCTGAGGCCAGGACAGCAAGCGCCAAAGAGACAGGCAACAGTGGGGCTCCTTTAACCCCAGGAAGGCAGACTTTCCAGAACCTGCAGGAGACAAACGATAGTCTCAGATCTCCCCCTGGCTGCCCTGTGTTTAGAAAAAGGAGCCGAGTCATTCTTTGTCATGAAAAAACCTTGGCTCCCTTAAACAAAGTGAAATAATGGTCATAAAGTACCAGGCACAGCAAATATCACTGTATGGTCATTCCCTATTCCCCGAATAACTGATTAGGCTAAACTCAGCGGAGCCAAAGGTCTTTGGAAGGAACCTGCAGAGCTGCCAGGGCCTTCAAGCCAATGTCCTCAAACTGTGACTGGCTTTTGCGTTCGGGTAGAGGTGTATTCGTTCAGCCTGTAGAGAGCGGCTTGTGGGGCCAGGCCAAGAGCTAAAAAGTCCTGACTCTGAGCTTGTGGCCCAGACAGTATAGAGTCTGCTTGCAGTGCAGGAGATCTGGGTTCGATCCCTGGGTCGGGAAGATCCCCTGGAGAAGGAAATGGCAACCCACTCCAATATTCTTACCTGGAGAATCCCATGGACAGAGGAGCCTGGCGGGCTATAGTCCATGGGGTCGCAAAGAGTTGGACACAACTGAGCGACTTCACTTCACTTTCTTTGTTTCTCTCTGAGCTCAGGAAGTCCAGTGGGAGAGACAGAACAGAAGCACAGTTCCTGCGCAGGGCTGGGCAGAGGGCAGTGCAGATGCCTTGGGGGCGCGGGGCTGGGGCTGCCTCCGATCTCTGCCTTTCTTAGTTGTGTCATCTGAGGCAAGCTGCTGAAACTCGGAGCCTCAGGGGTCTTACCTATAAGTGAGTGAAAGTTGCTCAGGCGTGTCCACTCTTTGCAACCTCATGGACTATACAGTCCATGGAATTCTCCAGGCCAGAATACTGGGGTGGGTAGCCTTTCCCTTCTCCAGGGAATCCTAACCTAGGTATCGAACCCAGGTCTCCCGCATTGCAGGCAGATTCTTTACCAGCTGAGCCACAAGGGAAGCCCAAGAATCTTTCTGAAGCAGGGATCGAACTGGGGTCTCCTGCACTGCAGGCGGAGTCTTTACCAACTGAGCTATCAGGGAAGCCCTCTTACCTATAAAGTGCAGCTAAGAAGACCCACCTCACAAGGCTGTTAGAGGATTAAGTAAGTTAATATGATCAGACATCTAATCCAGCATGTGGTCCAGAGTAGAAGCTTATCAGCCGCTCCCAGGACTTTCCCCTGGGAAAGAAGGGTTAGTAGGGACCCGAGCCTGTGCCCAGCAGCATGGGCCTGATAAGCCAGCTCAGGAGAATGGGGTTCTCCCCCTCAGGCCATGGCTGGTGTCTGTTGCACCCCCTTGCCTTTGCAGGCACTGAGGAATGAGCTGGTGGCAAGAAGCCGCTCCCAGTGTAGGCCTTAGGAAGATGCTATAGTGCAGGGGGCTTTAGTTCTTCCAGGCCTGTGTTCAAATCCTGCTCAGCCCTCCACGTGCCAGTCCTCAGCCTCATGCGTGAAACACAGCTAACGAAAGCCACCTCATTGGCTTACGTTAAAGAAAAAGAATAGCACATGTAAGCTTACAGCCGCATGGAAGGTTCTCAGTATGTAGGAGTGGCAGTGGGGAAGGTGGGGCTTGGATGGTGGTGATGATCGTGGTGGGGATGTGATGATGGCAGGGATGATGGTGACGATGATACAGGAATGGTGGTCATTTCTTCCCCTCGTGCAGGTTCCGCAAGAGGTAGCCCAAGGCTGGTGTAAAGAGAAGGATATTCCCTATTTTGAAGTCAGTGCCAAGAATGACATCAACGTGGTACAAGCCTTCGAGATGCTGGCCAGTCGGGCTCTGTCAAGGGTGAGTGGCACATGCCAGGGCTGCCCCCTAGGATGGGTGGGCTCAGAAGCATCTAGAAAAGTACCTGGTGGGCACAGGGAGAGATGCGGCTGGGACAGGACTGCTCGTGATCTTCATCAGTTGCTGAATGAGCTCAACAGTACTCTAATTTTGGAACCACAGAATACCAGAGGCATAAAGCTTCCTTAGCTTTATGGGGGGTTCATCATTGGTGGAGTTTCTATAAAATACAGTCCTGTACCTCACCCCTGGAGATTCGAATTTAGTAAGAGTCTGAGAAGTGATCTAGTTCAGTCCTCACTGATGGGAGAGCAGCCCCGTAGTATTAAGTATTGGTCCAGGAGGAATAATCAAGCCTGGAGAATTTGCTGACATTGTCCAATCAAGACGATGGATAGATGTAGACCCCTTGGTGTGGCCTTGCAATGAGCAGGTCTTGAGTGCCATTGGCGCTGGGCACCGTGCGGGCCCCAGGGCCCCTCGCTCTCGTAGGAAGACAGGTCCACATGGGAGCGGCTGCAGTGCAGGCTTTGCATGGTGGGCAAGGACGGGTGGGGGGCCCAGAGTGGGGCACAGAGCCCACACTGCAGAAGGGAGGCGGGAGAAGGAGAGGAAGCTCAGGGAAGGCTGCCTGGCAGCATTAGCAGGGTTTCAGTGCCATTCTGTGTGGAGTCTGGAAACCGTGAAGAGGGTCCATGAGAGACTGGCATTGGGAGGAGCTCAGCCCATTTCACTGTTCTGCCACATCCAGCCAAGGTAGGCTTCTTAGCAGCAGGGAGAAGGCCATCACGGCAGAGATTTTTAATTGAGGAAAAGAGCAGATGAGGACAGGCAACTGGAGGGCTGCCCTCTGTGGAGAAGCCCGCTGCCACCGGTCTGCCTGGCACTGCCCACCATTGAGAGGGTTCACGCTTGCCATCTTCATACCCCATTGCCTTACCTTAGAGTTTGTATTCTTAATACATCCCCTCCAGGCCACCCGCCCTCACTGTCTCCTTAGTGGGAAGCAGGGGCTGGCCATCTCCAGCACCCAGTCAAGTGCAGCTCTGTCACCCAGTCAGTAGTACAGACGTGCCTGCTCAGGCCATTCCCTGAAAGGCGCGGGGAGCTGTTGGACCTTGGAGGGTGACGCGTGCTCAGCGATCCACCACAAACGCGGTGCCGTGATCACAGAATGCTTACTCACGGGGAAGCTACAGCAGCTCCACCAGCCAGGGTCTGTGTGTGGTCAGCACCTGTCCTTCCTGGGGAAGGCACGTCCTTCATTCCTGAAGCCATGTCCCTCCTGCTGTGTCTCCGTCATGATGCAGCGGTGTTAGTAGGTGGTAGCTTGTCTTGTTTTCCTTTTTTTCCCAATGGCCTAACTTGTCAAAAGAACGGATTGGCAACCCCACGTCAGTCCCTCATGATGATGGAGGAAATTTATGACGAGAAGTCTAGAGGTCACAGGTGTGATATCCACAGTCAGATTGACCTTGGTTGGATCCTGGCCTCATGCTTTCAGGTGGACTCCTGGGCAAGACATATGACTTCTCTGAGTCTCAGTTTCCTCATCTATAAAACAGAAATAATTCCATCCCATACAAATTCTTGCAATTTCAGGCTAGGACTAGAGATGTAGACCTCATGGCCCGTGGTCAGGCAGAGGATTAAGGCATCCAGAATAGATGGTCAGGGGGTGAGGAAAGTGCCATGGGGGGGGCTTGGCCAAGGCATCAACATGACCGAGAGGTGCTGGTGGCAAGGCCGGTAAGGATGCCTACCCAGAGAAGGGGCCTGTCTTGGATGTTGAAAGGTGACACACGGTTTGCAGGTGGATGGCTAGGCTACTGAGGGTGTGAGCAGCAGCTGCAGAAGGGCAGAGAGAAGGACGTGACAGAGGCCCAGGTAGGAGTCCACGGGGCTCATGTGAGGGACCACCATGGGCTCCATCTGAACAAGGGGGAAATGTGGCCTGGAGGGAACTGGAGGCGCTGGGCCAAGGTGAGCAGCGAGGCTCTCAAGGTCAACAGCAGCAGACCTGACTGCATACGATAGGCCCCTCGTCTCTAGACCCACTGCCAGACCCCTGGGCCACACAGGGGCCCACCTGGGGCCTGGAAGCCAGCAGAGTGTGTCCTCCAGCCATGTCTCTATTATTGAGAAATTTGGAGGAGAAACGTTTTGCACTAAAACAAACACACGTGCTAGGACACAGAATATAAAAACACATGTGGCTTTTCGAGGTGAAGCTGGAGTTTGCAAATCTATATTTTAAGGTCAAAGAAGAGTTTTCACGGACACAGTCCCTCCAAGGACCTGTCCCTCATTCCCACGTGCTCATTCACAGCAGCCCAGATACTTGGGGAGGAGGATGTGAGGGACGCTGCTAGAATACGGAGGGAGCCCAGCCTGGGGAGGGAAGAGATGGGCTCTGAGGTCAGCGGACCTGGCTTTAAATCCTGCCTCTTACTCGCCGCATCCTTGACAAGTCATGTGCCTCCCTAAGCCATCGCTTCCCTCCCTTTACGAACAAGTAACAGTATCTTCCTCACGGGGTTGTTGCCAGGGCTAGATAAAATAGCATGGTAGTACAGAGGAGGCTGTAAATAAAAGGGAGCTATTTTTATTTGTTTTGGCTGCACTGGGTCTTCGTTGTGGCACCTGGATTCAGTAGATGTAGCACATGGCTTAGTTGCCCCAAGGCATGTGGCTCTCAGGTCAAACCTGCATTCTTAATCACTGGGCCACCAGCGAAGTCCCTGAAAGGTAGCTATTTTTAAAGGAAAGCGCAGGGAAGTTTCATGCTGCAGGGAAGATGAGCTTGATGGGCGGTTCTGAAGGTACAGGCATGAAAGGATGGAGATTGCAAGAATGGGGTGGATTTAAGAGACTTTGGATGGAGAACTATTGACAGTTGATGATGATCAAATAGAGGAGAGAAGGAATCAGGAGCTGCTGAGGTTGATGACGAGATTTCTAGCTTGCTAAACGGAGGAATGATTGATCAGTGATGCTATCGACCAAGATAGAAAAGAGAGGAGGGAGAGCAGAAGCCTTACAAGAGGAGGAACAATGTGGTCCACTGGGCACATGGCATTTGAGCTTCCTTGGGATGCCTGAGTTCTGCAGTGAGCTCTGGATGGAAGGAGCGATTTACAGGCAGAAAACCAGAAGAGGTGCTCAGCTTGCATTCTGAAAGGAGAGAAGGGAGGCAGTTACTTTAGTGTCCCTATCTGGCCACTTTGAAGGATCAGTATTTAGCTATTCATGGTTAAGAATGCCCTCATAGAATAGCATTGAAACATGTATATTATCATATGTGAAACAGATCGCCAGTCCAGGTTCCATGCATGAGACAGGGTGCGCAGGGCTGGTGCACTGGGATGACCCTGAGGGATGGGATGGGAGGGAGGTGGGAGGGGGGTTCAGGATGGGAAACACATGTACACCCATGGCTGATTCATGTCAATGTATGGCAAAAACCACTACAATATTGTAAAGCAATTAGCCTCCAATTAATTAATTAATTAATTAATTTTAAAGAAAGAATGCCCTCATAATCAAAGAAGGGAAACCCGCCCGCTTTGGGGGATTTGGGCTGACGGGATTTTGCTCTTACCAAGTTGGCAATATCACCCCTGCTGGGCTGGTCAGGCCTGGTGTGGGCCGCAGCGCAGAGCCCAGTTCCTTTTGGGTTAATTAGAGAAAGACATAATTACCATGTCCAGGAGAAGGCAGGCTGACTAACAGCTAAGCTTAGTGAAATTACAGGACTTTTATAAGGTCCTTGGGGTGCAGGATGTAAAGGCAGGGTCATGAGGTGACCAGGCTCAGAGAGACAAACTTGCAGCTGCATCCTCACTGAAACGATGTGTTAGGATTCCTGGTGTTATGTTACTCGGCATGCACAGACTTGCCAAGAGGACTGTGGTCCGAATTTCACAGGGAGCCTCACTATGGCCTGCCAGTGACTTGGAAGCTCTGTAGGAAACCCCAGGATTGAGCTGATGCTGTTACGGAGTGAAACGATGTCATAAACGAAAAGCGCTCCGCACTGACCTGACCCTGGGAGGATGTGACTATTCCCGGGTGAAGAGAGTGGCCTGAAGACCTCAGCCTTTACCTGTGTAACGGAGGCGTGTGATCCTCACATCTTCTGAAGCAGCATTCTGTTTGTTCCGAAAAGCGCAGAGAGCTCAGAAAGCGCGCAGCTGCTCCGGCAGCTCAGACTCTCCTCCCAAAGGCTGGCATTGAGGCCGAGGCCCAGGCTCTGCTCTTAGTCTCAACCGGGCCTGGATGTGAGGCTGGGGCACTCTCAGGGGTGGTGAAACAGCAGGCCCAGGCTCCTGGTCCAACAGGTCCAAGAAGAAATGTTCTGATTCCAGCCAAGGTGTATTTGCTGTTCCTGGTGAGAGGAGGACTGACAAAGTACCAAAATAAGAGGCTCCTTTCAAAAGCCTGTCTTTCTGGAAGCAGTGGATCGGTCAGCTTAAAGTGGGGACTTAAACAGTAATGTCCAGCTCCTCCTTGCCCCTCCCCGTGAGGCTCAGAAGAGTCAGGCTTTTAACCTCAGTCAGCTCAGTGGAGCACGCAGACCCTGCAGAAGGGGCTGACTGCAGGACTAGGCAGTGTCCCGAGCCGTGCAGACCCCAGCCCGCACACCAGGCCTCGGCGGTGCTGGGAGAAGGAGCTTCTCAGGCCATTTTCTCTACTTGGGCACCTCTGGGTAGGAGTCTGCTCTCTCGGGGTGAGGAAATCTGGGGTGTGCCAGGCTGGGTCTACAAGCAGTGGGCTAGGATCCTCCCCAGCAGAGGGGGATACAGGGCTGGGGTGTGGAGACATCCCTGGAGGGACAGACTTTCATTGGGAGACGCTGGCCCCCACTCCCCAAAACTAATATATAAAACAAGGCTTCCCAGGTGGTGCTAGTGCTAAAGAACCCACATGCCAGTGCATGAGATGTAAGAGACGTGGGTTCCATCCCTAGGTCAAGAAGATTCTCTGGAGGAGGGCATGGCAACCCACTCCAGTATTCTTGCCTGGAGAATCCGTGGACAGAGGAGCCTAGCAGGCTACAGTCCATGGGGTCACAAAGAGTTGGACACAATTGAAGGGACTTAGCATGCATGCATACATATATGACAAATAAAATTCTAATATCCCTAAAGAATTTGCTGAGGGCTACTCCAGGCCCTCATCCATGCTGACTAAGGGCAGCTGTGCTCTGCTGGCCGGGACACCCTACCAGGGAGCGGCTGAGAGATGGGGGCTCTGCAAGAAGCAAACGTGAAGAAGGGCTGGGTCCCAGCCCCGGTGCCCTGAGCTCGGGGCCATCAGGCTGAACTACTGCCTAGCCTGGGGGTGGCAGCAAGCGGCAGGGCATCAGAGGACCTTCTCGTGCATCTTGGGGGCCACCCTCATGAGGCTGAATCAGCCTCCTGGGATCCACAGTCATGGGCACTAAGAAGTTGGTTGACATTCTCCAGCTGGGACCCAGAGAGG